GCGTAACATTTCCGTCACACGCTTGAGGTATTCGGCCAATCATAACGCACTGGATAGCTGGCTAATCACAGCACACCTTGCTTTTCAGACCGATGAGCTTTGTAAAAATCGACGCTTTTCAGAAAGGCGGGGCATAGAGGAGAAACAATAATGTACAGTATGTGGAAAATAATGTTTTTTTAACCTTAAACCGCATAAACATTTCATTAAAAATACACAAAATAATGTTCTTTTTAGCAACATCATATGACCCCTTTAAGGCAACAGTTTGTTTTGAAAAAAATTTGAGAAAGACTTTTTGCATCAGTTTTCTATTCATCAGAGGATTCTGGAAAAAATCTATCACAGTTTTTACAATAAAAATTAGGAACCGAACTAAAAAAAAAATCAATCATAATAATATAAATTATTTTTATTTTGGGAAGAAGTGAGCTGGACAGGTTTTGTGATATCCTCAAACGACTCACCTGGTGAACTGTGTTAGCTGGCGATGGTTGTCGGGCACATCAAAAGGCTTGTACATGAAATGCCTGAGGTCAGACACTCCCACCTGACTAACGCTGTACGAATGAGCTTTCGCTATGGAGTTGAGTGCATTCTGCGTTTGCATAGCCTCCTCGATCTTCCTCTTACACTCGGCCACCGAATAAAACGCCTCTTTATCAGTGGAGAGAAGAACCAGACAAACAGTACATTCAGGAGGGTCCAGATATGAGATGTACGCATAAAAGTAACAGTCAGGGTTAAAACTGGGCAGGCAGATGGGCGTCCAGATCTCCCCAGCCTGGAAGGCGGACGAGGCCCCGATGAGGTTCAGTAGCAGGTGGAGGTCAGCAGGCTCCAGTCGGGCATCGTCGATGACCATCTTCTCTTGCACTATGGCGAGCAGCTGGTTCTTGGCTATGAGGATGGAGAAGACCAGGTTGGGTGTGATGGCCTTCTGGAGAATCTGACTGAGGGAGTCCCTGAGAGACGAGGCCAAGGGGAGACAGTGCACGGCGGAGAGTAGGAAGCTGGGGTCTGAGTCCACAAGGTTAAGGAGGCCATCGAGGATCTTCTCCGAGCCGGCCAGCAGGCGACGCAGATCATAGTTCTTCTTGTGCTCGAAGATGCGGGTGATGCTGGCCTGCGTGAGCATGCTGACGATCTGGTTGTAGACGTAGAGCAGTTCGTTATGGAGCTGCTGCTCTGATTGACGGCTGCTGGAGACGGACACCAGCACCAGAGGACCCTGCTGCATGAACACAACCGTGTGCTCATCTATCAGGAGAGAAGAGACCAGTTTAAGTTATTTAAGCATGATTATTCATTACTTAGGTATATGATTAATTGTTCTCAGGTCTAACACGGCAATTATGCAAGAATTTGTACAAAATTTGTGTATGTAAACAATATACACTAACACTACCGTTCAAGTCAGTAAGAGTTTTTTTTTAAAGGGATATGTTTATTCAATAAGGACACATTCATTAAATTAATCAAAAGTGACAGTAAAGACATTTAAAATATTAAAATGCTTTTCTTTTTTAAATAATTGCTGCTTTTTTCTATTTATCAAAGAATCCTGAAAAAAATGACCATGATTCCCACAAAAATACTAAGCAGCACAAATTTTGTCAACATTGATAATAATATTTCTTAAGAAATCAAATCAGCATATTAAAATGATGAATGGAGTAATGCTGGTGAAAATTCAGCTTTGCCATCAGAGCAATAAATTACCTTTTAAAATATATTAAAACAGAAAATAGTTATTTTAAATTGTAATAATATTTCACAATATTACCTTTTACATTTTTAATCAAATAAATGCAGCCTTGGTGAGTGTAAAATATTTTTCTATATACGTCTAAAATCTGACAAAACAGACTTTTGAACATAAGTGCATTTTTATTACATTAAACATATTATAGAATAGAAAAAAATTTACATTAAAACAACAGCTTATTTTTTTTTTTTAAGTTGGTAAATTGAGTTGAATATAATCAATAATTGTCAACAAAATACTAATGGAAAAAAATATGAATTGTTCAACCAAATTGATAAAGAATTTACAAAAAATTAAAATAAAAATATTGAAAAACTATGGGCTACATGAAAAATCAGATCAATTAAATTAAATTAAACACTAAAAGATATTGAGTTGCGATGTCAGAGAATATTAGAAGGAGCCTGAGTTCAAGACTGGTCATCAATTTTTTTAGCTGTTTTCTGAGAGGACATTTATGAGTAAATTAAAGCATGCAATTTTCACTTCACAGAGTCTTTGGGCCAATCTTTCCTAAGTCACTTACCAGTGTAGACGGAGCGAATGATGTTGTCTCCGCTTTGAACGAAGGACACCAGGGCCATCATCACTCCCATGGTGGAGGACAGGGCCTCCTCACTTCCATATCGGGAGTAGATGGGCTTCCCAGCCTCGCTCAGCACAAATACATGCTTCCTGTGCTGTCTCCAACTCTCCGCCGTCACATCCTCATTCCTGTGCGAGGGAGGTCCCAGAGGTGTGCCGGTCTCAGATAGAGGGGGCGAAGCTCCTTTCATACCAATTCCCTGCTCTTCCATTTTACCCCGGGCTAACATGGTTACGACAAACTCACCCGAGTCATCGTGGCCATTGTCGGCTAATGCAGAGTCCTCAGACGCTTTCCCAGAATCAGTCTCCGAAGCCCCGGCACACAGAGACCGGTCTTCATCAATGTGGAGCTTCTGCATATCTGTTAAAAGCTCTTGTGGCTGTCTGCTCTCTATTGATGTAGGGTCTGCTGACACCAAGAGCCCCTCTGGGTCTGAAGGCATCCTGTGATCTTCATTCACACAATGGTTTTCTGATGGGACGTCACTATCGGAGTAAGCAGCATCTGGAAAGCAAAGTAAAATCAGGGCTGTAAAATCAGCATGTTAGCCACTATAACGCAAGTTGTAACGCGGCAAAACATTACCTGTCTGATCAAGATATTGCGGAAGGATGGATGGATCACATATCTTCACCTCTTCCATATTCCCTTGACTCTCTTGACTCCTCTGATCCATGTCAACATGCAAACAGCTGAATTCAAAATGAGAACGTGACTTAATAACACCCAGTCAAATGACAAATATATCAGTAAAGCAATATAATTAATGAAGGTTCGTACTTAGTGTACAAAAGTGAAGTCTAAAGCCGTTTAATCCGATTACTGCTGTTATCCCATATCTGCACCGCTCGTGGAGTTTAAACACCGTCACGCACGTCTTCTGATGCCGAAATTTTAACAACGATGAATGACTATCGATCGCGATATTTAAATAATACGAACTGGTTCAAATCAGTTATTGAGCAGATTACAGGACAGTAACTTCAGCTAGTCTACGTTATTTATGGGAAAATCTCACGATCTCCCCCCATAAATGACTCCTCTCGTGAACTGATTCACTACTCGTCTTAATCACATTCATGTCTGTCTGAATAAATTATTAACGACAAATCAAAATCAAAACCAAAACCATCTTTAGCTTTCGCTCTGCGAAACTGACTCAGCCACCGGTGCTCCAGGAAGCTTGACGATAAAAACGATGCAAAACAAATACCCACAACCACTTCCGGTTGACTTGTTTCAAAATACAAGTCCATAATGAAATATACGGTCAAGTATTTAATTATCAGGCGTTTTCATTATTTGAGCAGAATAAATTATATTAACTAGTATACGAATGTTAAAAAGGGCCCATTTTAAAGTTTTCAATATCGACCAATGCAGCACAGCAAGCTCCAGGTTTTGGTTATTTAAAGATGAACAATAAACAATTCAAATTGCTCCAATGTTTGTAAACTGTCCAGAGGTTTTTAGTGGAAAATTGAGGTTCCATTAGTTAATACTAGACATCTAACTAGCATCATAACATGCTATATATCACATATCCATGTCTCTTTGAGTAAAGTACAAATTGTAAATATTGTGTAGCTATATAAATTTAACATTTATAAATTGTGTGTGTGTGTGTGAATAGATATCTTACACGCTTGCTCACACACTCTCACTCACACAGACACACTGTATAGTAAATCATAGTGTGGTCTCACACTTCTTATTACAGTCAGACACTGACTGCGTTTTTGTGCTTGTGCCTTTATAATTATTTAATTGACCAGGTGCTGTCCATTCCCTCGTTACTTCAAGACAAATGAAGCAGATTAAAGATCTGGTGTTGATATGAGGTATCAAACTGGTAGTGATGGGAAACCGAGGCTTTCTGAAGTGTTTGAGGCTTTCGTGAGCCGAAACTCGAAGCTTTCAATACAATGCACATTAGCGACATCTGGTGGTCGGACTTGTTTTCTAGGAACCAGTTAGGAACCTAGGTGTGCTATTTGATAGCAATCTTTCCTTTGAAAGCCACGTTTCTAGCAT